TGTACTGGAGAAGTGGCGGTTTCAACATGGCAGGCCTCTGTAGAAAGAGGACCGGGTAGATAAAAACAGCTCATTCTAAAGTAACAAACACTCAGACCGTTCTTTAATTTTCAGGTGATGTTATACACTAATGAAAACAGTACCTCTGAATCTTTACTATTCCATTTTGCTGACAATGATCCCCTTTTTTTTTTTCCTAAAATGTCACACACTGGAGCTTTAAAGAAAGAAAGTTAACATGTAAATGACATTTGTTTTTGCGATCTGAACACATACACTGTAATGGCTACAATATAAAATCACACAATATCACACACATACGATTTCAACCATGGATAAAGAAACCCTGTTTATTTAAAGAAACATACATAAATATTTAAGATTTGATCATTTGTTGATTTTTATTACGCGTTGGCATGTTAAGCTGAATAGTCAATCACTGAAAAATGGCGATCAGCAGGCTGGTTCTTTAAATGGATTTTAAGATTTGGGATTTGTGAAGTTACTTTTCAAGCAAAAATGAGCAAACATCACTGGTTACGGTTATATGCTGTTTCTGTTTCAATTTACAGACCAGCCAAGGACTTCTGCAGTAAAGCAGGCATTATCCCTCAAATCAGGCTTGTAAGAACAATGTGGGAGACACCTGATGTTGTTTTTGTTAAAATTACCTGAAGATTTAACACATCTTAAGAGTTCAACATTGGCCTGGAGTCACTTCTGTCACCCCCACTCACTCCACTCACAGACAGGATATTTGCTGGGAACCTCCAAAGGTGTAGGGGGGGTTTAGAGCTCAGAGCATTTTCTTATTTTAAAGGGTTAGAGGCTACAAGCCGGCAGAGAAAACAAGGCTCATTCCTCTCCCCATCCAGCCCCGCTTCCTTTATAAGGTCATTAAAGCATCGCAGGGAGCCCACCCAACCCCCGAGTTTCAGTCCCACTCGATTTGTGGTTGCCTTTTGGCAGAGACCTCTTCCTCAGGTTACCCTGCCCTGTGTTAAAGTTCAGTCTGATAGGTGACTAAGAGAGGGGTGATAGAGGTCCCTTTGTTTTGGGTGCTTCAGTGGATCATTGATTGTCAATTTGGTGGTGCAGGAGGTTAGAAAGCAAGGTAGATTTGTGTCTGGTATTGTTATACATGACCAATCTAAATGAGTTAAGAAAGTTAAGTACTCTACTCACTCTAAATCTGAATGTGAATTGCAGCAGATTTTAAAGGCCACTCACTTATAATCGAGTTGTTATTTATTTTTCCTACCAGTGTGTATTGATAATTGTCCGTCAGAGTTTACCAGTGAAAGGATGTTTTCACATCATCGCTGAAAGCTGAAAGTGGAAAATTTCTCTGTGCTCATTGTAAGGGGTGGGGCCTATGAGCAGATACACTGAGAATGGACTTTACAGTGAAGGAGGAGACATATTGTGTCCAGCAGGAAATCTTTAGAAATCAACAACATTTGCATATTCAGAGATACTGGAAGTTTTAAAAAATGTCTGGAGGGGGGTCTTTAAGGTTCTGCTAGCAAATCATACAATATGCAGAGACTTTGCCATAGCTTAAGGCCTTAGTATGCCTAAAAAAAAAACAACCTATGTGGCACAATCTGTTGTCTACAAACCAACCTCTCTCCATGAACTCTTTTGTAGTCTCAATGTGATGATTCGTGCAGATGACAATAGTATGCATTTGCACAGTCTCTTCAGTCAAACAGTCTCTTCTCAAAAGCACTTATGGTGTTGCATTAAGTTTTTTGCATTAAAATTGATGGGCAGTACTTGTGTGAGTGTGAGTGTGAGTAATAAAAAAGAGAAAAAGAGCTTGAGAGAGTTCAAACCGTACTTTCATACCTAAAAGCAATAAAAAGTGGGGTTTCAGGAAGTTGGACAATCCAGCAAGCACTTTGTTTGAAGCAAGCTGACCCCTTAAAGTCCACTTGCCCCTTTCCACCCCCAGCGTAATTTTAAAAATGCTACGGGGGGTGGCGGGTGGGCAAACATCTGTATGAGAAGTGGCCTTGTAGGTCTGTAGTGTGTGACCACATGAGGGGCATGTGGACATTGTCTGACCACTGCACAGTGATACTGTCTGTGCTGGAAAGACAGGGCGTCTGGTGGAGCTTTGACAGTCAACTAGAAGCACATGTATTGTCCTTTGAGACTATCTGTGTGGTAGGGCTGTATATTGGCAAAAATCTGTCAATATGATGTATCACAACACAGGAGTTACGATTCAATATATTGCTGTATGTTGAGATACTGTAAGGAAGCAATTTTTAAACAGATTTCAGGAAAACTGTTAACAGTATAAAGAACATACCACTTTTGTAAAGCAAACAGAACAGTTAGATCTACACTTGTATTTATCACAGTCCCTTTAACACCCAACATCTTTGCCTCCACTTTACTGCTATCTAGCTGTTGGGGGTTTAACCACAAAAATGTATGCAGTTCGTTTGAGAATCAATACAATATCACAAAATAAAATATCGTGATACGATATTTTCCAATATTTTCTTAGACCCTTACGTGTGGGTTACTGGACCTCTAGAGTCTTGGCTATTACATTACAGTTAGGGAGGGGCTTAATTCACCTTTAGACTCGGAGGAGATGTATACTGTTTTAAAGATGATAACTGAAATTGTTTTCTGAGCTGACTACATTGTGCTGTGGTCAACAGAAAGACATTCATTAAGGTGGAAATGTCTGACTGTTGAAGTGCAGTCAACAGAGTCTGTGGTCATACTGGTCAGCAGGTTTACATTCTGTACTCCCTCCGGCTGAGCCAGCAGCAGCTTTAATGTATATTAACCAACCGATGACCATTTAAGGCTTGTTGCTGGTTGGCTTGTGGTGGCTGCAGTCCCAGACAGTCTGCTTTTATTGTTTGGTGGATGGGTAGTACTCTACAAAGTGCTCAAAGTCTATCTGCTTGCGTTTTAGGCGTTCTCTTCCTTCTCTTTGTTTAATTAAGGTTTGATTTCTGCGAGTGAGTCCCATTTGGGCTCCACCTTGAGTTCAAAAGGAAATAAACAAAGAAAATATGAAGCGTATGTAAATGTGAGCTCAAAATATGTTTGTAAAATCTGTAGAGCAAATGTTAGAGATTATTCATAGTGATAGCCAACTGATTGTTTTATAGAGTTTAAAGGGATAGTATTCAATCTATTTAGGGAGTTTGGGTATTTAAGAAAAAAAGGTGCAGCTGGTGTTTGGCGTGGTTCATCCTTCTTTTTATTTACCACTACAACTGGAAAGCTAATTAGTGGAAGATCAATAGCCTAGTGCACTGTTTGGTAATTTACTTTTCTCAGGATGCATAAATTCTTTCCACCTCTTCTGGTAGCCATCCCAGGAATGCACTCCTCCCCTGTGTCATTTCCCAGCGTCCTCCAGTGCAGCGGTCATCTGGAGGCTTGACCAGATGGACTCATATTCGCTGCATGTACATAGGTGGTGGTGCTGAGGAATCAGAAGGGGGGTATGGGGCTGGAATGAGGAATGCTTTGGAGGTTTGTCTGGAGACACATGAGGGGAGGAGGGGTCTTTGAAAGCATTGATGTTTTAACAGTGCTGTCAACAGGATTGGGTTTTTATGAGCGAGCTGAGGATTCCCTGACAGAGTGGATACATGTTCCTATTAATGTAACATTGCAGGTTCTCGCAAGTGTGCAGTCAATTATTAAGTAAGCTGCACCTTTGTCTTAAGGACCAAATGTGGAATTGGCTTATTTAAAGGGGAAATTTGCTACTTTTTATGTGGATGTCCAATCAGTCTTGATGGTAAATGTCAATTGAAGTAATAAATCTCACAGTGTGTGCTATATTGACAGAGAACTCTGAGTTATCTTGCTTACGGAGCTGTGCCAACAGCTTACATGTACCAGAACACATTCTCACTGCCAACTCATCAAATACTGCCGATTGGTCAGTAGCTACTTCCAAATTTTTACACTGTAGGTATCCCTCTCGCATGTTTTTTAGAATTCTGGAATTTTTGGAATTACGTTGTGAAACGGTTGCAGTTTGGCTAGAGAGGCACAAAAGCTACTTTGTAGGTTTAGGAAAAGATCATAATCTACGTTACTTACCTGATGTAAGTACGTGAGTAAGACCGGGTTGACATGGATGCATTGGGCGTGAGCTTCTGAGGCCCACAGCTATTGAGCAAGCAAGAGAAGAGCATTTGTCTATATGGCATGCACCAAAGAATCTATTGCTTCAATTTACTACATTTACAATCAACACTAACTGGACTAGAACATTGATTATCATGATCCAGCAGTTACGGAGCTTCATGGTGTTTGTGTCCACATGATGAATTGAATTAAGTGGAAGTGAAAGTATTCACTCTCTTTGAGCTGTTTTTGGTCTCCACCAACTCCTGAGGGGAATGGCTCTTTAGCTACTAAATGCTAGACTTTAACTGTATCTGATGGCGGTTTGGTGCTGATCAGGTAGTGTACAGTGGGTTTGTAGAGCTTTTCCTCTGAAAGAAACAGAACAATTAGAGTGAACCAAAAAAGTAAAGTTGTGGGCCTGGAAGGTTTTTGGTATTAGTTCTAAAAAAGAAAACTTTTCGATAACACCAACTGTGGCAACTGCTAAAACCCAGTAAACTTTCTATTTAACAGAGCAAACTGCACATGGAGGGCTTCCGCAGCCTCAGAGAAGGCGAGGCCGTGGAGTTCACCTTTAAGAAATCATCTAAAGGGCTGGAGTCTGTCCGGGTTACTGGGCCCAATGGAGCACCATGTCTCGGCAGCGAGAGAAGACCAAAGAGCGCCCAGAAACGACGCTCCAAGGGTGACAGGTAAGTCCAGTCTGAGAAACTGAGACAGTTTGGGACTATTTCATGTTGTGACGTTTATATAAAAAAAGAGTGTAAAGGCCACCTCCCCCAGCCTCCGCTTTGAGTGGGAGTCTGTGAACCCATGTATATATTGATGCATCAGTCACAGAAGTTTATGCTAGTTTTTTCTAATCCTCTACTCAGTATTTTTCTATGTTGGCGCAATGGTACAGTCTAGACCGGTATTGAAATTTTGAAGCCTCATAAAAAAGTGCTAAAGGGTTAAGTAAAGTATGACACTATTACAAGTAATGTCAGCTTATCATCTTATTGATGAAATTTGCGTTTAGGCTAAAAACGTTCTCAAACAGAAAGCCTGTAGGTGTTGGCTGTTTGTGGAGCAGCAGGCTGATCTGGATCAATAGATTGTTTGATCTCTTCAGGATTCTTCAACCCCCAACGCTCCGCCTCTGTGTAGCTTCATCACTTCAAACTTTATCTCTCTGTTAGCAAACACAAACTCCTGGGCTATAAATGAACCTATAAGTTAATGCTACTGGAGGAAATGGCTATTTATTTGCAATTGCTCTGTTTGACTTTGAAGCTTGTTTGGGGAATTAAGCTATTAATTTGATAGCATCTTGTAGATTTGAGTATATTAATCATGGCTGGCAGTGATAAAATGAATCTTCCTGTCTTTAAATACCTGCTGGATTTGATTGCGTTCAGATGTTCCTACTTCATCCTTCTCACTGGTTTCCAAATCATGAATGTTGCAGTTAAGAGAAAAGGAGTTAGATTTGCAGATTGCAGGCCGTTATTAATGTGATAGCATCTATTAGGTTGAACTTCATTACTCATGGTGGGCAATGATAAAAATAATCCCACAACTTCCTGTCTTTAAGTATCTGCTATAGGTCTGATTGCATTCACATGTTCCCTTTTTTCTCCCAAACATAAATGTAATATTCAGAGAAGGAAAAGGATCCTATCCGTTTAATTGATAACAGATGTAGGTGCCCAAGAGAGGTCAGAGGTCACCATTGCCATAGCAACAATGGGATGTGGTGTGCAAATGAGGAGGAGGGGCTGGTGAGCGAGCAGGGGTCAGGGTTCAGAGGTCACGGTGGTATTGAGACAAAGGAACTCCTTCTCCCACCCTCGTGGCCACGCAGATCGATACTGAGCCCTGATGGGGGGCTGGGAGGAAGGCCAAAGAGAGGAAGGAAGTGGTGGTTAGCTGTGAGGTGATCCAGGGCTCAGGCTGCGTTTCATCACTATCTCACTGAGCATTAGCTGCTTTAAAAGACATGTAAGCTGTAGTTTTCTACCATCAACAAATTCAATGAAAGTACCCTGACCAACAACAGTGTTGTGTGTGTATCACAGCCTGATATATCTTCTTCCTCTGTGCTGTAGAGCTCCATTTTTGTACAGAAACTATTAAAAACAC